CACAGAATCCGATGGCTGGGCCACGTATTACGCATGCTAGCCCACCGACTTCCGCGACGTATGTTGTTTGCGCGCCGGGGGTGTGGATAAAAGAAGAGGAGGGGTGGCCAAGCGACGACTTGGTCCAGAGGAATGAAGGCCCTCACTTCTGAGCTCGCCTCGGTTGGAGCGTCTCGGCTCCCTTGTTGGGGTCCAAAAGAAGATGAACAGGTTTGGTTGGACACACTTGCTGATATGTCTAGGAGCCGACCTCAGTGGCGTTCGTGCTGTGAGTTTCTTTGTCCCACCCCATCCCTCTTAGCCTCCCCCTCCAACCACGATCTTATTATTTAGTCTTATATAACTTTGCATAGTATTTTTTGGGGTGCGCAGCAGCCGGCTGGTAGCTTTTCGGAATGACGCCCATCAGTTACCCGTAGCTCAGCGAGCTTGCACCAGTTGCATTCTTTCTTCTTTTTTTCTGGATTGCGGCACAGTAGCTGAGGTGTTCCCCTCCTCTAGCTAACATGTACGATGATGATGATGATGCTTCATTTCTCCTACCAACGAAAACGGCCCAACCCATACTTGTATCGCAGCGCACACTTAGGCCTGCCAAAAGATCTTACTATGGTATACCAAATACTGAATAACCTCCGTTACGAGATACTATTGAATATGTGGAAGCAGGAAACTGTCCCACACGTCTGGAGCCGCTCCATCAGGGTGGTTCAAGATCGGAATGAGGCAACCATAGAGAAATCAGTCTGATGCCTAACATATCCAAACTGTTTGCCTTTGTTATCTGTCACAGATTGACTAACGCACTTAAAACCTAGATTCATGAATTACAAGCTGGGATCCATCAAGGTTGTGGCTGCATCGATTACGACATAACTTTTGCGTTAAATTTTGGAGCACCGTCAGATATATTGGCGACCCACCGTTATCATATCCTTCGATATAAATGTGCATTCGATTTGGTGCATCTATGTGCCATTTGGGGCTGCCTATTCAGGAAAGGTGTTTCCTGAGAACTATGTAAATGTTAACCGTGAATTATACGCGCGTAACTCAGGCAGGGTGTGGGCTTACGACAAGCCGTCGCCGCTCTTCAATTTCTCCAGTGGTGTAAAACAAGGATGCACTCCGTCACATTCCCTCTTCAAGTTCGCTATTGACGAATTAGTGAAAATCGAGTTTACGAGACACAAATTAGAAAGTGTTCTGCTGCTTCGAGGAACACGAGTTCTTGACTTGGATTATGCTGAGAATATTGCCCTAATCTGTGACAGCTCCCAAACGTGCCAAGCTGCGCCGGTCAGATTAGCACCGGTTGTCAGCCGCTTCAGGCTTTGCTTCGCAACATCGAAGTGCAAAGCGTTCCTCCAAGATTGGCAGGGATCGCCTCCTACACTGACCCTTGGTGGGGATCAGCTAGAAGTCGTTCAGAAATTCAACTACCTGGGAATTTGTTTCGGCGCCCTTGGGATCGAAGAAGAGATCACGAACCTTATACCAAAAACTCGAACTGCTTTTGCTAAGCTTCGCCACTTATGGCAGCGGCGCGACATCACTCTCGCCATGAAGGATAGATTGCACAATGCAGCGGTACGTTCGACCCTACTGTACGGTTGTAAAACCGGGCTCCTTAGATCAGCAGACATAAAGAGGCTAGTTACGTTCGACCGTCTGTACCTTCGCAGTTTGGCTCACATCTGGTGGGAACCCTGCGTGAGCAACGAGCGTGTTCGACGCCTTGTTTACGGCACAGGAAAAGGAAATGAAGCGCTCAGCACCGTTATTTCACTCACCAGGCTCCGATGGCTCGGCCATGTGTTGCGCATGCTAGCCGACCGACTCCCTCGGCGTGCGTTGTTTGCTCACCGGAAATGTGGATGAAAGAAGAGGAGAGGTGGCCAAGCGATGAGTTGGTCCAAGCGACTGAAGTCCTGCACTTCAGAACTAGCCTCGGTTGGAGCGTCACGGCTCCCTGGTTGGGGCCTAAAAGACGGTGAACACGTTTCCTTGGATACACTTGCTGACATGGCAAGGAGCCGACTTCAATGGCGTTCGTGCTTAGTTTCTTTGTCCCTCCCCATCTGTTTTTGTCTCCCCTCCAACTACGATCTCATTTCGTAGCGCGAAATATAATAATTTTTTTTAATTCTGGCATAGTAGCCAGCTGGTAGCTTACCGGAACGATGCCTATCCGTTGCTGGTAGCTCAGATGGCATGCAACCGATGCATTTATTTTTCCTTTTCCTTTAGGTAATGTATGTATGTATATATTTCCTTTTTGTATTGCCGCACGATAGCGGAGGTATTTCCAACCTCTATCTGACGTGTTTAGTGAGGATGATGATGATGATGCTTGGCACCCCCGAATTGCAATGCGTTCCTCCACGATTGGTCTGCGCCGCCTCCTACGCTGACCCTTATTGTGCATAAGCTTGATGTCGTCCAAAATTCGACTACATTGGAAGTTGTATCAGCGTTCGCTGGACTGAAGATGAGATCACGAACAATAAAGCAGAAGATTGGGACGCTAAACATCGCCACTTATGGTGCTCGCGCGACATCACTCTTACCCTGGTGAGTATAGTGTATCACGCAGCCGTACGTTCTACCCTACTGCATGCTCGTGAAACCTGTCTTCATTGATCAGTGGATATAAAGAGGCTTGTTAAGTTTTACCAGCGGCGCCTTCGCGATTTTGCTCACTTTTGGTAGGTACACCGAGTAAGCAACCAGCGTTTTCGAGACCATGTTTACGGCACAATGAAAGGAAATGAAGCGTTCAGCACCGTTATTTCACCCGCGGGGCTCGGCTACTTGTTACGCATGCCAGTCCACCGACTTCCGCGATGTGCGATGTTTGCGCTCCGGGGGTGTGGATGGAAGAAGAGTAGGAATGTCCTAGCGATGACTTGGTCGAGAGGAATGAAGGCCTTCACTACAGAGGTGGCCTCGGTTTTGGCTTCACGGCTCCCCGGTTGGGTTCCAAAGACGATGAACACGTTTGTCTGGATACAATTGCTGATTTGGCTTGGAGCAGACCTTAGTCACTTTTGTGCTGTGTTTTTCTTTGTCCACCCCCACCCTTTTAGCCTACCCCTCCAGCAACATTCTCACTTCTTACCCCAATATAATTTTGTATAATAAAGTCTTTTTGCCGCAGAGTAGCCGGCTTGTAACCTTCCGGAATTACACCCATCCGTTACTATTAGCTCAGCTGGCATGCATGGGTTGCATATTTTTTTCTTTATGTATTGCTGCACAGTAGCTCTGATGTTGACTACCTCTAGCTAATATGTACCTAAGTCACATCTGGCGCGATCTGTTGTAAGTCAACCACAATATCAAACTGAAAGGTCACTAGCTAAAAGTGATCGTAAACTAGAGTCAACTTCATCGCTGACAACACCTTTTCTCTCTTCAGATGTCCAGACTGTGGAATGTTGTCCCTATTCATGATAATTCTGTCCAAAAATTAACGATGTTATAATATGATTGGATCACATTCTTTCCCATTTACATATCGCAACATACTCTCTTTCCATGACAAGGAATAAACTCAAACACTGCACACACCAGCATCCTTCGTTACGTACTGTGAGCAGAGCGAAGTACGTGCCCTTGTAAATAACCCGGTAAGTCACCTTAAAACAGAATATTTGTTTTTCCCGTCACTTTGCGCAATCAATTTACAGTCCCCGTACCAATCAACCTGCGGGACTTGTCAAACAATGATTTTTGCCCGTTACAAATCGTTGTTCATTCGTCATCTGATAATTAACACACAGAAACCCAATTACATTGTTAACATAGATCAATGACCTCATGAGCAAGATCTCAGAAGTCAGCATCTGTGGCTATTTCTATGTGAACTGTCCAAACATTGGCGAAACTAGCAGTGGGGAAACTGCGATTACCGCGAGTAATGAAGCACTTATTTTCACCTTGGATGCGGTGCATGCATTGGTGCAGAAACGATTAAGTCTTCCGGAACGGCAGTAAAATATTCTCCCAGACTGAGGGCAGTATAGGCGTGTAAAAGCCATACAAACGGTTTGGAGTATAGTGCAAATGGGTTTCCGATGAAACCAATGATTATTTGGAAACTGAAGTAGAGGTTTGAAAGTGACAACAATGAGATAAGTAAGGGGATATTTGGGGCGAACATTTGTATAGGTTTGACGTGCATGTGTGTGGTACAGTGCTGTTGGTCCTACAGAGTGACAGAGGTTATGATATTATACCCTCATCTTATCTGGAGATTTTTCTCTTTATATTTGCTATCAAAAAATCACCGTTACTAAAATGCTCGCTTTTGAGTGCTAAGTGTCTGCGTTCCGTTGATTTGAGGGATGACAGTGTGAATCACTGATTACCTATGCATAATTGTGCAGTTAGTCGTATACCACATTTTTAACAGGTACTGTAAATGTACCGATAATCGTTTCATTTTCCGCATGCCCCATAATACCAGGTTGTTGTTTCGACAACCCCTGATTAGTTGTGAGCTACTTCCTGTTTCTTGGCTTTTCAGGCTATCTCACTTGGTCTCCGAATTGTAAACCACAGTTTAATACATTTCTACTAAGCGCTTCTTCATGCTGATTGAGTAACAGTAGTGATTAGCAAGTTGATATCACACTATTTAGTTAAACTTCGCTCAGTACTGTTTGATCGATCAGCCGAATTTTAACGTATTAGCCATGTTGTCCGAACTGTTAAATCTTCCTATTACATCGTATTATATAAGTTTGCCATTTCAGCGTTTCTCTGACATAACCGTAATTATTACGACTGACTAGTGACACGCGACCTCTATTTGGCTGGAATGCACCACGGAACTGATTGCATGTGTATCAAAACAACATTCTTGTTTAAGTACGAAAATTCGGACCAATGGGATGAGAGCACACAAGTACTATTATCACACATATCCACTACATAAGAGAGCGCCCAGTTACACAGCGACCTAAACATTGCATTCAGAATGTTTCCTATATTTTTGACTATTTTGTGTTATGCTGTTTCAAGTAAGATGTCCCATTTATGAGACAATGTTCATCATATTCATACTAGCCAGAACGAAAATTTACGCATGAATTATACTCTAACTGTTCGACATAATAGACCATTATTTAATATTGTGACCATAGGAGGACCACCCAATCTTGCATTAAACGCTTTCGTTATGGCGGTTGTTAATGTGTGCGGCATTTAATTAGCTTCGGTACGTTGTATTCTAGAAAATAACCCCTTAAATAAGCAACGAAAATTGAGATATTGCTACTAGTCAGAATTATTCGGTGTACATGCTTATCAAATTAGTGTAGTAACATAAGTTCATGTGTTAAAAGGACAACAATTCATCGGAGGCTGACCACACTTTCTAAACTTTTTAAGCGATTCGCCGATTTGTTAGAATGAACTAAGTATTTAAATAAACTAAACATGGACACTGAAATTAAATGGCTTACTGATCGCAAACTGCAAATCACCATGACCTTCCAACTGGGAATGACTATTCTTGCAAAATATTTTGCACTCCAGCTCTGTGTATCGCGTACGCACAAACCATCCATACATACGGTGAGTACAAATTGGCGTTCGTTGTTCAGGAAAACCTATGGAATATAAGTGGATTCTATTAATGACCATGGTTTTGTTGTATTTGTAAACGTCTAACTCTAATCCTAGCGTCTTTTTCTGTTCCAGAATACTAAGCTTCATTGTTTGTACAGCTGATCAAAAAGAAAATAGTTAACACAGTTTATGAGCTGACCTAACGTTAAGTTGTTAACTATAGTATAAGTACATGGCATATCGGATTACTGGACGCTTTTGCAATGTAGTTTGGAAGAAAATTTACGCTCTGCGAGCTTAGAACACAACCCTGATATCGTTAAGTCCACAGTCTCCTGGCCATCGTCCAGTCTAAACGCCACCTTCAATAGGCTGTTAGGTGTGCTAAGTAGAGCACGTTGAATTATAACGTAGGATAAATAACGTTAGAAATGATGTAGCAAATTGCAGTATATGATAAGGCTTTAAGATCGGTGCTTGCAAGAAGAGCAGCATCAAAGCATTGCCTGCGAGTAACACGCGTAACGATTTGCTTGGGCTACACGCATCGTTTGATGAGTTATCTGCTTTATCCCCTAAACTACGGATTTTGCCCAGTCCCGTCATTTATTATTTCGCCTGATTGCATTCACAGAGCTAACTGTCACTGGGTATATCCTCGTAAATGGTAATGATATTTCATGGAAGGATGACATGAAAGATCCGAATAATGCCGCATTACTATATAGCACAGAAGACATATGTGGCCGAGTAAGTTTTGCGATTGGTGAGAAGTGATAGCAACATATTCAGATAGCTATATAACACAGCCTTGTCATGGTGATCGCCTCATTCTAACTGAAACGATATGAAACCAAACCCTGTTTATGTAAACTATTGTCGTTTGCAAATTTATTGGTTATACTACTTTTCATGTATACTTGATACAAATTAACTGACAGATTTTACTTTTATCCCATCAAGAATCAAACAGCTATAGGTTGTTTGAACAATACCTGCGAGATCTTTCACAATTAGAAGTTTTTAAATAATTAACGGAAAAGTAATGAAATACAAATCCGAACGTTGGTACATGAACCTTTCTATAATTAGCGAAAGTTTAGAAACCAATTATTTATCTTACCGTGTTCATCTACTACCAGCAGGCCTTCATATCAGCTGTTGAATTAGTCCAGATCAAACTCCATATTAACCTACGTTCTTGGTATTAGCCGTCCGAATTTTATCCTGTCAACAAACTCGGTTTGTAACCAGAAGAATGAACAATACCTTCATTGCAAATGGATTTTTCTAGGTATTATTTAGAAAAGTTATTGTTGAGTTGATCCTGTTACCTTAGAGGGAGCAAAGCTACAAATTTAGGAAAAGACAGTGTAGTTTACATCTACAAATTGCATTAATGCAAGTGCTCTTCTATTCGATTACATTCTAGATAAAAGCGTCGATTATCACATTGACTGGACCTCTGAAGGATGAAGTGAAATGTGAAAGGACTGCTCTTTTTGGCCACCCAGTCAACGGCTACCTTGACATGCTTTTTAAGAAAAGTGGACTTAGCCCAAGTGCATTGGCTCAAGACCAACTACAACAAAGATTACATACTCAGTTCGAACTGATTACAGAGCAGAACAAGAATTCCACTGGGCTTGTTGTCGGAACAATTTACAATCAGTGGAGTAGGTGTTCAAACCATTTACAACGCGAAGCTAAATGAGGAAGTCCTTGCAATTTTATTTTGAATCGCTTCCCATTTGCTTATTTGAGCACAAAATCAATAACAGACATTGCTACTTTTTACTTGCTGCAACTGCTTTTCGACTCTCAAATGAAACGGACATAAGCATTGTAGCTGATTTGGTGAACGAAACTGGAAAACGCGGAATCCAGTGCCCTAGATTTTATCACACTTCGGTTCACATACCTGAACAGGAACTGATTTGTTTCATCCCAACTCATCTGGTCAGTTGTGTCTTCATTGTTATTTTGTTTGGGAGACTGTTATGTCTAAGTTGGAGTTACGGATGAGAAGTTTATACCCATGGCTCAGGGGCCACGGTATTTAAAACTTGGTTTAATATTTAGCATAAAACCGAGAACCACAGGTTTGCATTTATTACTATTTCAGATAACACACCTATGACATACACGTTGCATATTCTACTCGTGAGCTTTGTGGATGAAAGGCAACGTTTGCCAATCTTAATCTGCATAGTAGTAACAAGTAATTAATCTTCGTCATAATACCAAAAAATAACTTGACGTCCACCATTATGTATGTGCCTGTATCAAATTATTGCTGATACGTCTTGGAGATGCGCACACTTATTTTCCCATTCCTCAAGAACGGTTTAATGCTTGCTGCTGCGTCCTATGGCCTAACGGAAAACTGATTTGACCAAAACTATAGCACATTCAAGCGTCCCCTATTATGTTGCTATATATTACTCGGTGTACTTATTAGTGTACTCTATACAAGTTCATTACTTAACCTCACGCTCTATCGATTATTAAAAGCAAGTGTATCAGTAAGCCATCCCGTGTGCGTTGCGCAGTATAGCCAGTGGTCAAGAGGAATGACACAACGTCATTTGTTGGCATTGGCATCTGACATCCCTTAGAATCCGCGTAGGCGTTATCGCACTTGAGCTCATAACTACACCATAATGGTTGCGGCACTAATCCCTTTAGCAGATTGACTTGGCTAAAAATGTATATAAGCTTATCGCCCGTAGCATGCTGTGAGTCTTATCAGTCACCCTATTATTCACGGTGAACCATACGACAAGTAAATACCGAATAATGTTTAGAAAGAAAAGTAAATATTTTAATTTGCACAAATTCATCGAATAAGTTGTAAAGGGTTAAAATGACACTGTCGCTTGTTGTCATTCTCAACAGCCTACGATTTCCTAAGTGAAATGTATGCACGTCGAACACACATTAACGCAGAGAATAAAGAGCTGAAACGTAAATGTAAATGGCTGATCGTGCTCTGAGTAAAATGACGGCTAAATTTGAATTTTCGGTATGTTTTGCTGCGACACGGAAATTACCTTAGCTATTTGATCTGCCAATCGGTATTAAGCAAAAACCGAGAGTAAAATTTCAGTGAAAAATGATTTACAAAGCAAACAGTAACATTCTCTCACATTACGCCGAGAGAAGCTCCATATGTTTTGGAAGTGTGGCATGCGAAATAGCGATTTTTATGAAATGGGTCCAATGCATAGAGAAATTAAACAACTTAGTGTATTGTCAACATTACAGGAAGAGGCCAAGTTGACAAGACGGAATAATTAAATGCATCAAGTATCGTTGCTTTATGATCGAAGTCTGATAATGATTAGACGAATAGCCTAATTCGACCATTAGCTGCGCAACTAATATTAATTGTGCTCATTGCTTACATACCAATTAATTAATGCAAATGTTTGCAAGTATATGACGCGTACATGCGTGAAGCTGTGTGCTTATTCGCCAGCATTCTGTTAAAGGAATGCACACAAACGCATTCCAAAAGCTCCAGAGCATGTACCACGGTGAATCCGCGAAGCGATGAGAGATGGGAGCGGATAAACACATTTAACCTGAAAACATTGAAAGACACGACCGGATGCAACTTTTTGATAATGTTCTCCACATAGATTCTAACATGAACCTTTCGTTCAAGGTGACGTTTCCTCCGACAACCTGTCTCAGTGCTAATGGTATACGATTAAGTAGACATTATTTTCAGCTAGTTCGAGAATTATCAGAACCCAGATAATTCTGCTTACTATCGTCGGCTGGTTTGATACAAGTTATCAATAATTGAGTTTATTTGGATTGCGACTCTTAGGTTTTACACATGGAAGGTTCTACCTAACCCACACAGCGTATGATAGTGAATGTGGGGGGGTTAAGCGACCAGGTGCAACACCTTGATTGGTTTACGTTTCTGAATCTTGTCATAATAATGCAAAAGATCAAAAGCCACATAATCCTTTCCCATACAAATTATTACCAGTGCTGCGCAGCGACTTGCAATAGATCATATCAGTATTTTGATTGCGACATCATAAGCTAGCTTTTGGTGTACAAAGCGATGTATACGGTACTTCCTGCAATGGTAACACACAGCTTGTGTCCCACAAGCACTTACTTGTCGAACCCGTATTTCGTGGTGAATATTATTAGTAGACCGCATTTTGTTTATTTTCTGCCTCACATATCCTCAATATTACTAGCATGAAAAGGTGGTTATTGGTTTTCACTTGCGTACACTATGACTCAGCAGGATTGTCAGCAATATTATTTTACAAATTGACCTTGTCAGCTTGGTCTCCACCTGAGAGATTGAACCCGTGGTACTGAGTAAATGAAATTCAATTCTAGGTGGCATATTGGGTATGTAACTAAACAATGGAAACTGGTCAGCGTTCTACAACTTCGAATGCGCCGTTTACATTGATGGCATCTGTAAATGGACACTTCAGTCTGAAGTGTAAATAAACGCATTTCGCGTTGAGGTGATTGACTGAACATGCGGCTCAGTTATGAAACAAACTGTGAATTAATTACCTCCGCTAAAATTCTTTTGGGAATATTTGACAACAGTTCAAATACATAACATTGAGAACAACTTTTCACCACGGTGAGACCCATGGATGACAACGTGCAGTAGGTAAAAGAGCGCCTATGATTTCTGATAGTATTTTCAAGTGCCACGGAATTGTTTCAGCGAAATTTGTGGTCGGCGTTAGGCAAACTTATTGTTGCAGTTCAGAAGTCGGCCACCCAATTCACTGGGGATTACGCCGTACATATAAGGTGTAACGTTTGCGTAAGTAACATCTCTGCTGAACCATGTTACATCGTAATACTCCAGAAGGTAGTTGTGGACAAACGAGGTGTTGAAACTAAAAACAATTGTTGAAACCAAATAAATTGTGCAAACTGCGCATTACTTTAATTTTAACAAGCGAACTTTGTACTTCTTGCAAGTGAAAACTTACTTGTTATTGTGAAACGTTTTAATTACTTATAAAAGCTTTGGACTGGGAATCCTCGCTGTTTAATGAATGTTTATGCATTGTTACAGTTTGTAAGCATTTACGAGGTGTGGAAACTATGATAAAGAACTTTGCTTGCTTTCAGCCACAAATGATGCTGGCAACGACATGGGTTAGTTCTACTTCTTATTGTATTTTATCTACGCAAGACCTTGGAATTTGTTTTAGATATGTAATGAAATGCGCAAAAATCTTGAGATAGGGCATCATGGTATAGGTACATACGTTGCGCCTGAAGTGTCAAAACGCAGTTCAGCAATAACTTCATGCGGATCAAACAAAACATATGGATATAATGGAGCGAATTCTAGCCAAAAGCCACTAGCTGATACAGAACTGATACGCTTTCGCGCAGCTATGAGCAATACCCTCATGCTGCAGCTATTTTGAAATATGTTAAAGACATTAACTGGAGTGGCTGTGAAATGCCGTTTTACTTTTTATTCCCTTGGAAAGTATATCTGTTAACTTTTAATGTACCAAGTACAAACCGACTGCCCAGATAAACGGATTTATTTTGATTATTTATGCTTTGCATTGGCGCAAGCCTTACATAAGTTAGAAGGCTTGCACATTTTTTAAAATTAATTTTCTTCCTATACTGCAACATTCGGCTAATTGTATGGTGCTTAATTCACACCCAGTCACCATACATGGTGGCATGTAGTGTGGTGCTTCATGGAAGATTTTCGTTGGCAAGCTAAGTAAAGTAGACATTCGAACAAACCCAACCTATTTTTTATAGATGCAATGCATCTGAGTAGCAGTTTTTCAAAGAGAATTTTGTTGATCATATTTGTATTGGAATGGACAGCAACCATTAGCTGGACTCTGAATAAAGAATGGTTTCATGCGGTTGTCTCCCACTGACAGTCGTGAAGTCCTAGTATTCCTATCAAGTTCAAAACTATGGACTTTCTTAATTAAAGTCAAGCATCCACACTTTATTAAGTTATTTAAATTTGGACAACAGCGAAGGAGAAAACCATTTCGGATAGTTGTTTATAATTAACCCCTTTAAAGATTGCTGAGTCAACATTGGGGTAAATAAGCAAAAGTCACAGTTTGTGATTCAGTGTACAGCATGATAGCAGTTA